CCACCACCTCCCTGAAGCCCTCAGGTCCTGACTGACAAGACGACCCGGTAACCGAACACTTGCCCTTCTGCAGACCCTCGAGGCCGTCCACCACTGCACCCCCTATGCCTCTGCCAGAAGTGCCACCCTCAGCCAGGCCATTCCAGGGCCCCCTCGGCCAGGAAGCCTCCTTGACCTTGTCTAACTGGGGGGCATGGGGAGGTGTCTTGCCACCACCAGGGGAGGCACAGAATTTGTAGTAACTAACCAGGGAGACCAGGCCTGTGGGAGCCAGGCAGGCCAAGGCGCCTCACCCACGAAACGCCTGCATAGGAAGCACTCATCCTTTGGGCTGGGAGAGGAAGAGGGTGGGCTCTAGACAGAGCAAACCCACTCAAGTACCCCCTGACAGGGGACAAGGAGAGTAACAGCAACAATGACGATGCCTGGTTCAGCAGAGTGAGTGCTTCGTGTGGCCCCACAGTGTGTCTGGGGGTGTCTCTGCTGACAGCCCGAGGAGGTGAAAGCTGTTATCATCACCACCACCCCTTCTTTTAGGGCATGGAACTGAGGACCAGAGAGGCTGAGAAACGTCTTCCAGGTCCCACAGACACTAGGTGGTGAAGGAGCCGGGGCTGAACCAGGCTAGTCTCACGTAGAGACAGGAGGGTGGGGGAGAGGCTGGGGGGAGGGTACCATGCTAAGGAGGACTGGGGGGTCAGGAAGCAGGGAATGAGCATGGGGAACTGAAGTCCAGCCCCACCTCCTCTGGGCTCTGGAATGGTGAAGTGCTTCTGGTGGCCCTGCGGGAGGGCGGGGGGAACACATGACGCATCTGAGGGGTTCATAAGCAGGGCCAAGGTGGGATGCACCTGGGATCCCTGCCTTACTGGCAGGTGCAACTCAAGCCGCCACCTGGACAGTCTCCTTGGGGGCGTGGTCTGCAGCCAGTAGACCCGATGCTTCGGAGGCGCACAGACCCGGCCCCTCCTGGGTCAGTCTCTACTTCCCAAAGCACCAGACTGGTACAGGACGGTGGGAAGGTGAGCAGACAGTATGGGGCAAGTGAGCACCAGGACACAGTGGGTGCCCAAATGTCCAACAGGACAACAGGAGGGTCACCATGAGGGCAACAGGGAGCGTGACTAGGACCCAACCGGGCATAGAGAAGGGCACGAGGCCAGGGTATGCCATCTTTCTGAGAGGACGAGTCCCCACCCCCACCCATTCCCTTCCCTCTTCTCCTTAACCCAGCCACCTACTCCGTAGGTCAGGGTGCCAATCAGCCCACTGCCTCAGGGCTGAGCCTCCCTCAGGCCTTTAGGGGACACAGAGATGGGCTGGACCACAGTGGTGGGCCAATCATGGTCACCTCTTCCCTCCCTCTGGCTCTCCTGGGGCTATGAGCCTGTGTTCCGGATCCTTCCTTTCCCACCCTTTCGGCCCACAGCCCCAACCTTGCAACTCCGCAAGTCAACACCGCTGCGTGCCTGCCACACAGTACCCTGACCACCTTCTCTGCACCCGCCCCCCTCCATCGCGGCCCTCCTGGTCTCCGAGGGACCACGAAAGCGAACAGACAGGACAGCCTGCAACTTCCTGCTCTCCTACCTGCAAGCCTCTCAAGCTCCAGCCCAGACCCATTTCCTCACCCTCACCCCTTCCTGCCATCAATACCTGTAGGCCAGGCCCTGGCCCAGAGCAGGACAGCCCACTGCCACCTGGCCAGCCCCACAGCCCTGTGGCGCACTCAAGGTTACATGGTTAAGGACCTCTTTGTAGCCCGCCTAACGGTGGACCTCTCCGCGCCCGAGCTCTCGCCCTCCTGCCAACATTCAGCACTGTTCATCGTTGACGCTTCCCTCAATCGGTTTCCATGCCCCGACCTTGGGGCTCCCTCCATGCTCCAACATGGAAGCTGCTGGCTGTGGGGTGAAGACTCCCCATTTTCTCTCTACCTTGAGCCCTGCAGAGCTGGCTGCTGGCCTGCTTCTTCCCCGTTGCCTGCCTTGGTCTAAACATGTCACAGCCGGAGCCCTTCACTGTCCCCGGAACCTGTTCCTCCCTGGGACCCCTCCCTGCTCCTGGGGAAAGGGTGCTACTAGGACGATTAGGGTGTGGAGGAAGAGCCACCCTGCTGGCTTCACAGCCCCAGTGAGCGCCCGATCCAGAGAACCTCTGCTTCTTAAAATGTTCTCAAGCTAAAGCCTTCCTCTCCACTCCGGTCCCCTGCTTCTGTGCCCTGGCCTGACGGAGCCGCCAAATGGTCCCACCGAGCCCCTAGGCAACCGCCTTGCCTCTACCCTGGACCTTTTCACCCAAAGCCAGCCTTTCTCTAGAGCATATAAGTCTTCCGTTACTGGGCGCCGTAGTGGTTATGCATTGGGCTACTAACTGCAAGGTCGGCAGTTCAAAACCACCAGTTGCTTCTCGGGAGAAAAAGGTGACTTTCTACTCCTGTAAAGAGTCACCATCTCAGAAACTGATGGGGCAGTTCTACCCAGTCCTGGAGGGTCGCAGTGAGCTGGTGTCCCCTCAAAGGCAGGCAGACACTGGGCTGGGTGGGGGTTCTGCAGGAAGTGCTTCAATGGAGACCCTTATCGTGAGTGGTGGTGGGAAGGCGCCATGGAGACTATCAAGCCGAAGCCCTGAGAGGTCTGGGCTAGTCACCACCCCACCAGGGAGCGTGGCCTTGTGCTTACAGACACCCTGGGGCCAGGCTCCAGGACCCAAGACGGGCACCACTGTGCAAGGCCAGCGGCTCTGCATCTCCGGCCTCCGTTCACCAGCCCCACCTCGCGGCAGGAAACTGCGCCCTCTTCAATCCCGAGGCCCACCAAGGCTGGCCTTCCCACGCATCGCCTCAGCTAGTCCTTGAAGCCAGAGTAGCCATCGGGGTAACTCCTCTCTAACTCCTCGCTTCAATGTTGCCGGTTGACTGGCAGCTCTTCAAGGGCACAGCGATACGTTACAACGACAAGTTGCAAGCACACAATACTCGGTCTGTTTGCTCTTCATCCTTGTCCCTGAGCAAATCCAGTGGTTACAACTGAGGCATTTATAGTTTCTTTGTCCCAGGAAGTATCCTCTGTAGGATTCTGTAGGTCTATTGTCCTTGCTGGGAGGGGCGAGAGAGTCCATTTCGACTGAGAGTGACCCCGTGTGAGAGCAGACTGCCCCACAAGGGTCTCTACCGGATCTCCAGGCCCTTCTCCCCGGGAGCTGCTGGGGGAGGGTCTGAACCGGCAACCTTGCAATCGGCAGCTGAACACTTAACGCTTGTGCCACCCGGGGTCCTCTGATGTCTCAAATGGAGTGAGTGACGGGGGGTGGGGGGTGGGGGGGGGGGTTAGCATGGGCTACCCCTGGGCTGCTAACCCAGCAAGATCAGCAGTTCGAAACCACTGAAAGACAAGGCTCTCTACTCTCGTAAAGAGTGACAGTCTCGGAAACCCACAGGGGCAGTTCTACCCTGTCCTCTAGGGTCACCATGAGTGGGCATCGACTCGGTGGGAGGGTCTGTCTGGTTTAGTAGCCAAACAAAGTAGCCACCTTGATTGTCCAGGTGGTACAGATGAAGAAACCGAGGCAGGGCAGGTTTAAGAAAAGTAACTGGAAGAGCAAGATCTGACCCAAGCCATCTGGCACCACAGGTGTGCTGTCTGCCCGGAAGGTGTGAGCGAGTGCGTCAGCCCTGCGCCTTCTGACCAAGTTCCACCACGAACTGGCGGCACAGGGCCTTGCTGGGACCCTCGTCCTCTCGGGGCTGCTCTGGGGAGGGTCCAGCTGTGCGGGTGGCATCTGTGAAGGGCCCGGAGTGTGAGCTGGTGTGGGAGTGGTCTCTGGGAAAGTGTTGCCATTCACAGTTAGGCAACCTTTCCTGAGCTCCAGGGGAGGAAGATGTTCCAAGCTGAGGACGGAGGCTGAGCATGGCTGCCGGGGATAGGGCAGGGAGTCCCCTCTCTCATGTGTCAACAGGCACGGTCACAGGGCTGTCCTCCGAAGGGTGTGGAAGAAATGAATGAGAAGAAGCATGCAGCGCATGGCTTGGCCCAGTCTGGACACTCGATAGACCACGGCTACTATGCAGAGGGCAGACTCGGGAGCCAGGGGGCCTGGGTTGAAAGGCTCAGTGCTACCCCTTCCTCTCCATGTGACCATGGGCCTCGGCACCCTCATCCGAAAAGGGAGTACCAGTACCTCCCTCGCAACTCCCAAACCAAACCACACTCATTGTCATGGAGGGAGCCAGTCGATGCTAACGCAGGGCAAGCCTACAGGACAGACTAGAACTGCCCCCGGGGGTCTCCGAGTGGACAGCCTTGTCCTCCTCCCCCCTAGCTCACAACTGAGGGTGGAAGGAGCTCATAAGCAGAAAGCAGCCAGTGTGCGGTACGCTCAGACATATTCTACCGCAACAGTTAGACAGAAACGGAGCCCTGGCGGGCGGAGTGGACACATGTTGACTAGAACCCACCACCTGCCCTCCCTGTCCCCCTCGTCCCGGGCAAAGACAGGGCCACCTGCTTCCTGCTAGCCAACAGCCTTGGAAACCCTGCCCCGCTTCCCAGTTCTGGCCTGTCCTCTGGGGTCGCGAGAGGGAACGAGCTCGATGGCTGTGGGCATGGTTTGGAACGTCCCTTTGAGCAGCCCCGGTGGGCTGCTTTGGGCTGCGATCTCTCTGCGAGGTCAGCAGCTCTAAACCACCAGCCGCTCCTCTGGAGAGAGACCGGAGAAGCCCATAGGGTCAGTTGGACTAGATTCTCTGTAGGGTCACCAAGGGTCAGAATGGGCTCGAGGGCAGTGAGATGAAGTTCCCCTGAGACACCTACAGAACCGAGGACTCAAAGGGCTGCAGACGCGCATGGGAACGCTCTATGTGGCTCGACCCTCTGACGCCCCCTCATGTCCACATCCGCACCTGCACGCTCACAGCGAATCCGCGAGGGCGGGACTCAACTGCCCACCTTGCGACCCTCCCTCTGACAGGTGCTCACAGCTCTTGCTGCCCCACGACCTTGTGGTGGACACCTGCGTCCCCTCCATCCTTCCTCGCCTTGCCCAGCTCACGACCACGGCCCGGGAGACCAGACCCCAGACCTGCCGCGTGCTGGTGGCAGCGCCCCGCCCGTCCACTCACCAGCGGCTCCACGTCCGACAGACGCGCATGCAGACGCACAGCTCCCGGGGCCCCAGGTGCTGGAAGACACGCAGCCAGGCGGCCCGAGGCAGGGGGTGGTCGGATCCAGCAGCTAAAGGTAGTGTGTCGGGCTCGGGGCTCCGAGGGGGTGGCCGTACCACGTGCCGCTCCAGCTGCGGGGGCCGGGGTGGCGGCGCAGGGCCCAGGGGCCAGCTGAGCAGGGGGCCCCCGCTGCCCGGGCGCACGGCCCGCCGCCCCCCACGGTTCTCCTTCTCGCCGGAGCTGCCCCGGGCCGGCCGGCGCCCATTGCGGGCCTCGCCGGGAGCCTCGTCCTCACTCAGCGAGGTGCCGGAGGAGTCCGAGTCGGAGTCCGAGTCCGAGGAGGACGAGGAGGTGTCGGGCACCCGCTCCAGCAGCTGGCACATCCGCTTGAAGCGCTCCAGCTTCTCCCTCTGCGGGGACGGGGACGGCACCGCGGGGCCCTCCGCAGAGGCCAAAGGCGGCTTTGGTTTCTGCAGAGCGACAGGGTCAGGCTGTTCCAGGGGCCCACCACCACTTTCCCACCCATCCCCAGGGAACGACTGGCCCAAGGTCAATCCCCACCCCTGCTCCTGACTGCTGGGAGACCCTGGCCACGTCCCTGCCCTCTGTGAGAGGGCACGGAAGCAAAGAAGTCGAGGTCGCTTGGGCCCCCACTGGGAACATCTGTCTGGTCATTGACTCTTGGCCTGGCCCTGGAGAGCCTGGGCTTCATTTCTCCTCGGCAAATGGCAGGCTGACCCGAAGTGGACACGCAGCGGTGCGAGTGACTGCCTCTCCCTGGCCCTTTGTGGAGGAGCCCACCTGCGTTCCATCATTCCAGCCCCTGCCCCCAATGCTCAAATGCAGGGGGAACCCCCCCCCCAGCACGGAGAATGAAGTTTCTGGCCCCACGTGGCAGTGAGAATCAGCTTGGGCGGGATTGGGACCTGATTAGGCATAAAGGGTTGTGTTTTCCCACGTCAGGGCCCAGGAATGTCTGACCCCTGGTGCTGCCTGAGGCAAGTCTCTTAACTTCTCTGGGCTTCCTCTAACCTGGGTGGAGTTGGAGAGTCTGCACAAGCTTGGTTACTTCTATCACCTCCCAAGATTTAAGATAACATAGCTCCCATTTTATGGACAAGACAACTGAGGCTCAGGACAGCTGACATGGTACCAAGACCACACAGGGAGTCAACCACTGGGTGGGGATTTGAACCCTGCTCTTTTCCCTCTGGAAGGCTTGCTCAGACAGGTGAGGCAAGCGGCCTGATGATAGCTCAAGCACTCTCCTGGGCCCCAACCGGGTTTCCTCCTCCTATCTCTCTCCCCAGGGGTCCAGGCAGCCTGTGTGGTCAGGTGGGGCAGACACAAGGGCAGGACAGAGTTATGAGGAAGGACCGATCTCTATCTCCAGGGTGGAGGGTGGGGCTCTGAGGTGGGGGGAGAAGGAGGAGGTCCCAGGCACACCTCCCAGTTCTCGGGAGGGAGCCCAGGGTGGCAAGACGAGAAAGCCTGGCTCGGGTTCAGAACCCTGGGGGGCAGGAGGCCGGGGCCGCCTGGGTCCGATCCTCGGAGGAGGCAGGCATCGCCACCCACCTTCTTCAGGTGCCTCTCTCGGCCTCCTTTCACCTGCAGGGCAAGGAGATGTGGGAGAAGGGAGAGACCCCATGAGCCAGCCCCCCTCGGTCCAAAGGAACCACTCCTCCAGGTCCTTCTCTTGGACTACAAATCCCAGAAGCCCCTATCTCAGGAAGAACCCTGAGCATGCTCACCTTGCAACCAGTGTCTTGGCTCACTGAGCATGCTCCCATCTCCTCTTTCTTCTCCCTCAGGCCCTTTCCAGCCCCTCCCTCCTCCTCTAGAGCAGCCAATTTGAGCATGCTCTCTCCTTTCTCCCTACAGCACCCAGGGTTCCCAGAGCTTCCGGGCCTGGAGCCAGTTTCCCCTCACCTGCATTGCTTCCCACCACCTGCAATGCTGCCACCCCTCCACCCCCCCAACGAGTAGCGCCTGAACTACATCTCCCAACCACCCCATGTGGAAGCCCACTAAAGAACGCTCCCAGTCCCAGTCACGTCCCCATACCGGGCCAACACTACAGTTCCCAGGACCGCTCTGGCCTGGCCTCGTGAGCATGCTCCCTGGCTCACCTTTTTCCTTGGGGTAGGGGGCTCATTCCCTGCCTCCCTTTCCTTTCGCTTGGGGGGCCCAGGCACCTCCTCCGGAGGGGGACCGGCAGGCAGGGGGCCCTTGCGCCTGGGTGGGGGGGGTGGGAGCGGCGGCTCCTCCGTCAGCTTCCACCCACTCCCCAGGCTGGCACCCTCCTCGCCATTGTCGGCCCTCCGGCGGCCCGGGCCCTCTCCTGAATCCTGGGGAGATGGAGAAAGGGGGTGAGGCCCCTGGCCAGCTCAGCCAAGCCCCTCGGCGTCCCAGAGCTCACCCCTGGCCATACCTTGCTGGTCCGGCCTTCCTGGGTACAGCGGGGGCACTCCCAGCAGTTGGGGATCTCAGCATTGATGACACCCTCAGCCTTCCCCATCTACGGGCAAGAGGGCAGAGGGGCCAGCAGTGAGCAGCCCCAGGTGCTGCCTGTCCCCTCCCCGCTCCCGGGAACCGGTCCTACCCGACCCCAGGGCCCCCAGGGCTATCACCTTCAGGCAGCCAGGGTGGACGATCTCATTGCAGATTGTACACTCCATGAGGCTCAAACCGAATTTCTCCTCCTCTCCCTCCACCGTGTCCTCCTTCCCAGCCTCCCCACACAGGAGGCACACAGCGGTGTGCGGGAGCACAGGCTGTGGGGGGCAAGAGAAGGGGCATCAGGAACCCAAGAGCGACAGGGAGGGCCCTTCCTGAGGGCCACGGGAACTCGGGCTCGCGGCCGGATGAGGAGGAAGACTTGGGGGGTGAGATTTGGAACCCATGGATTTAACCTCCGTCCCGCCATCTGTAAAATGGAGTCGGGGCGTCTCTGGTGTTTCCCGAGATCCAGGACACACACTCCACAACGGTGACCGCTGTTGGAGCTGTCACCCTGAAACTGCAGCTGGCTTCGGGGACACAACAGCCAGGTGTGACAAAAGTCAGGCGGGCAGGAGGGGTGGGAGGATGGCATCCGAGGAAAGTCTCAGGACCCCCACACCCCCAAGAACCCAGCATTGGTGCCACCTCCCGGTCCCCTTCACTCAACATGGATGGAGGGGAGAGTGAGGACACGGAGCATGGGGCATGGGCAGGGGCGGGGGGCAGAAATGCGGACGGACGTGAAGCAAGGGCTGGGGAGCAAAGCAAGAGAAGGGCAGCAGAGGCCAGGAGAAGGTGGGCACAGGGCAGCAGCGGGGGTGTGGGGGGGGGAGGGAGCAAGATGGACCTGGCTCACCATTGCTGAGGGGCAAGGTGACCCTGTGGTACCCCTGAGTGTGGCAGAGGCTGGGGAAGGAGAGGGGAGCGCCGTGTACTGAGCATCCTAGCAGGCCCGCCGATACCCACGCTAGTCGGTCCTCTTCCCGACTCAACCGAGGAAATGTTTTACAGAGAAGGTACCGGAGGCTCTGAGGGGAGGGGGAGGGGAGAGGGCCCCCCCTCCGGTTTGTTCAAGGTCACACGAAGGGTGAGCCGAGCCTCAAATCTGAGCAGTAAGGAAAGAGGCCAGGTGAGGGAAAGCCCCATTCGTGGTGGCCAGTTTGGGGAGTGGACTCCTGTGCCTCTGGGCCGGGAGACAAGATGGCCCGGCCTTCTGTGGGGTTTTGACCCCGCAAACCAGGGGAAAACAGCATAGTAGGAAGAAGGGAAGCATCCTAGCCTGGCCCCCCAGCTTGTGGCTGACGATTTTCCCCCAACAAACCAGCGAACAAGAGAAAGAAATGCGGAAGCCAGGGAAGAGCAAGTGACGCATCCACTCTGGGAAGCAGTTAGCTGAGAGCCACCCGGTGCCGGAAAGGAGGGTCCGGTCCGCAGAGTGAAAGGGGTGGAGGGTGGGGGGCAGAACTCACGGCAGTGCACTGCCGGAGCAGGCACGACTGCTTCATGCGCCCGGGCCCCCCGAACTTCTTCATATCTCGGCAGAAGTGGCAGTCCCCGCACTCAGTTCGCACACAGGCCCGGCAGCGGCGGCAGCGGGTTCGGCGTCGGCGCGCTCCGGCCCCCGGCCCCCGGCTGCTCGACGACATTGGGGGCGTCAGCAACGCCGAGGGCTGCAGGTAGATGAAGGGAAAGTCAGGTAGGCCCACCGGGGTCCCTGGTCTGAGAGTCTCCTGGAAGCTCCCCCAACTCCTAGGCAGAGTGTGTCCTTTCTATCCAGCTCGGGACAAGGAACGGAGTGGTCACCTGGTCTGCTGAGGGGTGAGAGTAAGGAGGGGGGGGGGCTGACCACTCCCTCTCAAGGGCATCTCTCCCCAGCAGCTCCCCCGCAGGCATTGGCTTCCTGACCTCACACTCCTTCCCACACTTCCTGGGAGCCCTCTGGCCTGCCTCAGCCTTCCCCGCTGACATCTCCACACCTCACGGAGAGCCCCACGCTTCCCCTGTGACCCAAACGAAGGGCACCCCGGGATCTCCCGAACCGCAGATCCTTCAGCTCGAACTCAGGGCACCCGGGAGGGGGGTGGAGGGGGTGAGCACCACACTTTTCTTACCTCCTCTCCCATGGAGGAGTCACCTTACCCCCAGCAGACCCCACCCAAGCTCTCCTCCCTCAAAATCTGGATATTACCACCAGATCCCATGGGATCCTCAGGCCACCAACTTCCTGGGGCTTTGAAACCCCACTGAGATGCTGCTCCAGAGGTCCCTCCTCAGGCTCCTCAGAGACACACATGAATCTTGTTTGCCCCCAAGCCCTCTCCCAGGTTCCCGGGAATCTAGAACCCAGCCTGACATCTCTACAAATCTCACAGGACGGGTGCCACTCCTCCCATCCCTAATTGTCTGGGCTCCCCTTCCCACGAAAACGTGATCCTCCAAGATCCCACCCAGACTCGGCAGGCCTGGAGGGTCTCCTCCCAGCCAGGGTCTTACCCCCTGACTTCCCTCTTTCCAGGGAATTCCACACCCATCCAAGAAGGGAAGGGGCCCTTTAGCGCTCCAGGGGAGGGGCCTGGAGGGTAGGCGACTGCAGGCGAGGGTGGGGGGGGTCTGCAAGGGGCAGCTGGGGGTCTAGGGCGGCAGGCCAGGTCCCGGGGTTGGAAGGTACGAGGGACGGAGCCAGCTGGAGATGGGGCGTTCAGAGCCAAGAGGAGGTGAGGCTGGGGGCGGGGAAGGCAGAGGCCGGGTGCAGGATGAATGGGCGCGGGAGCTGCCCAGAGACCCACCTCACACGTGTCCCGGGAGCCATCTCTCCCTTCTCGGCAGCTCCCGGCGGGTCGGCGGCC